ATCAGAATTTAAGTCTGCGTTTTTAAGATTTTTTTTCCATAAGATAATGTATTTAACTCTGATATGACTATCAATTGATTTTTACAGTATAAACTTATTGAATTATACCACATTTATCACATATCATATAATTATAATATAATTATATTATAATAATTATCATATAATTATTATTTCTTTCATAAGATGATTAATTAAACCCTGATATAACGATCTATTGATCTTGCTGATATAAAACCATGGAAATATTCTATCAATCATAATTTGATTTCTTTGATTTAGCAGTGATTTTGTTTACAAGATATTTATATAGTATGTAGTAAAAAGAACCACCCATTCATACTTGCGCCACTGTGCCATTGTTCTGGCCTGTTGTTCTATTGTCTTGACATGGAAGATCCATAAACAGTGATATCTTTATAGTGTGTTCTGGGCAAACAATTGATTGAAGTTGTTGGTGATGGTGATGGTGCTGGTGACGATGGGGTTTACTTATGATATATATATATACATATGCACCTGGCCTTGGCGGTGGCTCCCTGATAACGCTGTTAACTCTTCATTTGGTATTTGCCCTTGCAGGTGGAATCTGTGCAATGGACGTTCGACAAGACGACTCCCGATGACATCAACGGGGAACTGAGGCACCTGGCCGAATTCCTGGCCAACAAGCAGTTCGACCTGGTCATCAACCTTCCCATGAGCGGCGGGGGCGCCCGGCGGTGAGTGCCACTGTTTGTTGACTCGATTTACTGGGCCCTATTCAATCCCTACCGATAAGCTAATGCAGTCGATCGTTTGGAGTGGGTAGTAATCTGGGGATCCGCGCGCAATTTGAATCGGAGGTCCGCAAATAGACTACAAACAACACACTTTCTTTGTGACAAACTAAAGCCCCATTAAGTAAAATGGGTTTACCCGGTTTATTTTATATAAATGTTTAAACGTTTGTCACTTTTCAAGTGTGAGTCAAAAAATAAGTTTGTCATTTTATTTATCATGAGAAAGGGCTTCTCTTCTTAGATTCGCTTTTCTGATTGTAGAAACCTTAAATGCATGCTTTAAATCCTTGATATAATATAAGGGCTTACTCCCTCTTAACTCATTGATAAATGTCTATGAAACGTAAAATATATGGTGTTAAGGTGCCATACCTCGTTGAGCTCGTTGCAAAAACTGGATAGAAAAATCGTATTTTTGACTAAAATGTGAATCTCGTATTTTTGTCCAAAATCTGAATCCCATTTTTTCGCCCTAAAAATGTAGTTTTTCGGCTGCTAAACAAAAATAATGCTCAGATCAAAGAATGCCATACCTTATTAATGTGATTCATGGGACAATTTATAAATAAAGTATAATATTTAATTACTCAGTATCAGTTTATCGTGATCTTAAACTAAAAGTTAATAATAATACTTATTATCAATGTTGCAGAGTCTCCTCCTTCATGACCCATGGCTACCGCACCCGTCGCCTGGCCGTGGACTACTCCATTCCGCTGGTGACCGATGTGAAGTGCACCAAGCTGCTGGTGGAGTCCATGCGGATGAACGGCGGCAAGCCGGCAATGAAGACGCACACGGATTGCATGACCTCGCGGAGAATCGTCAAGCTGCCCGGCTTCATCGATGTGCATGTGCATCTTCGGGAGCCGGGGGCCACGCACAAGGAGGACTTCGCCAGCGGCACTGCAGCCGCCTTGGCCGGCGGAGTGACCCTTGTGTGCGCCATGCCCAACACGAATCCCTCGATCGTGGACAGGGAGACGTTCACCCAGTTCCAGGAGCTGGCCAAAGCCGGATCCCGCTGCGATTACGCCCTGTATGTGGGCGCCTCGGATGGCAATTGGGCGCAGGTCCATGAGCTGGCTAGCCAGGCGTGTGGCTTGAAGATGTACCTAAACGACACCTTTGGCACCCTGAAGCTGAGCGACATGACCACCTGGCAGAGGCATCTAGCCCACTGGCCCAAGCGGGCTCCGATTGTCTGCCATGCGGAGAAGCAGAGCACGGCGGCTGTGATCCTACTGGCCCATCTCCTGGACCGTCCCGTTCACATTTGCCATGTGGCTCGCAAGGAGGAGATCCAATTGATCCGGGCCGCCAAGGAGAAGGGCATCAAGGTGACCTGTGAGGTGTGTCCACATCACTTGTTCCTTAGCACCAAGGACGTGGAGCGTCTGGGTCACGGAATGTCCGAGGTGAGGCCGCTGCTCTGCTCGCCAGAGGATCAGGAGGCACTGTGGGAGCACATGGAGTACATCGATGTCTTTGCCACCGACCATGCCCCGCACACGCTGGCTGAAAAGCGCTCGGAGCGTCCGCCGCCCGGATTCCCGGGCGTGGAGACCATACTGCCACTTCTTCTCCAGGCCGTCCACGAGGGTCGTCTGACGCTGGAGGACATCAAACGGAAGTTCCACCGCAATCCGCGAACCATCTTCAATCTGCCCGAGCAGGCGCACACCTATGTGGAGGTGGACCTGGACGAGGAGTGGACCATAACGGGCGCCGAGATGAAGAGCAAGTCCGGCTGGACGCCATTCGAGGGCACCAAGGTGAAGGGACGCGTCCACCGCGTGGTCCTTCGCGGCGAGGTTGCCTTCATCGATGGCCAGGTGCTGGTGCAGCCCGGCTATGGATTGAATGTGCGCTCCAAGCCGGGACCATTGCAGTTGGAGGCGGGACAGCCGGATCTGCTGCCCAGCGACAGCGATGCCAATGACACCTTTGCCCGCCTCCTGACCGCCGAGGCAGGAGCCGCCGTCCAAGGATCATCATCGACCAAGGTGCACTTTGTGGACGGAGCCAATTTCCTGCGTCCCACATCGCCGGCACCACGCGTCCGCCTGGACTCCACAAGCAACACGGCGCTGCGGGAATACATACAGCGCAGCTCCAGCCCCAATCCGGTGGCCCATTCGTTGGTGGGCAAGCACATTCTGGCTGTCGATATGTTCAACAAGGAGCATCTCAACGACATCTTCAACCTGGCCCAGTTGCTCAAGTCCCGGGTGACCAAGGATCGTCCTGTGGACGAGCTGCTGCGCGGCAAGATCATGGCCAGCGTGTTTTACGAGGTTAGCACACGGACGCAGTGCAGCTTTGCCGCGGCCATGCTGCGTCTGGGTGGCCGGGTGATCAGCATGGACCAGATCACGTCGTCGGTGAAGAAGGGCGAGAGCCTGGAGGACAGCATCAAGGTGATGGGCAGCTATGCGGATGTCATGGTGCTCCGTCATCCCCATCCCGGAGCAGTGGCGGTGAGTAGATAGTAGGGGATGGAACCCGAATTCGACGTAATACTTAGTCGGCTTAAATGTATTTTTCTTAGAGATGATATGATATGACATGATCTATGATCTTTTAATGATCAATTGGTTTTAGCTTATGATCCCCTAGAAATGTGTCTTTAAACTGATTACTTTCCTGGATTCCCCAACAGCGCGCCGCTACCTTCTGCCGAAAGCCATTGATCAATGCCGGCGATGGCATTGGGGAGCATCCCACGCAGGCGCTGCTGGACATCTTCACCATCCGCGAGGAGATCGGCACCGTAAATGGCCTGACCATCACCATGGCGGGTGACCTGAAGAACGGACGCACTGTGCACTCGCTGGCCCGCCTGCTGACCCTGTACAATGTGACCCTGCAGTATGTGGCGCCCAATAACCTCCAGATGCCCCACGAAATCACGCAGTTCGTGCATCAGCGCGGCATCAAGCAGATCTTCGCCACCAGTTTCAAGGAGGTGCTGCCCACCACCGATGTGCTCTACATGACCCGCATCCAGCGGGAGCGATTCGACAGCGAGTCGGAGTACCAGAACGTGAGTGTTGTGGGGGGATCCTAGTCAGCATTATTTAATCATTTCCCTGCATCCCATTTCCATCCGCAGTGCTGTGGCCATCTGGTGGTGACGCCCGAGCTGATGACGCTGGCCAAGAAGCGCTCGATTGTGCTGCATCCGCTGCCGCGTCTGGACGAGATCAGCCGCGACTTCGACTCGGACCCAAGGGCCGCCTACTTCCGCCAGGCGGAGTACGGCATGTACATCCGGATGGCCTTGCTGGCCATGGTCGTGGGCGGTCGCAATACGGCGCTCTAGAGGATCGCGCCCCGGAAAACCCGCTCTCTTTTTTGACCCTCGATACTTTTTTTTTGTATACATTCTTTTTTACTACACATGTATGTACGCTGCGTCATACGAATATATAATATTCCTTTTGGTTAATCTGTGTTTACTTATCTGTGTAATGGGAGTAATTAGTATTTAGTATTTTACAATGTAGTATAGGAAACATTTATTTTTCACATTATTTTTTAATTACACAATTTTCTTGATCGTAGCTGTGATCTGTGCATTATGTCAATATGATTATATTACAGTGGACTATGAAGGATCATAATACTTATATTGTGTTGACATAGTGGAATTCCCAGGATGTGGTTTTCCTTTGCTTTTAACAGTGCAGCCTATCGATGGTTTGCGAAGATGGTTACAAAAAAGAGTGGATCCTTCGGGAGACGCGATCTTTGATCCCCCCATTTAAAGGTACATGGATGTGAGATGTGCAGATGCTGATAAGAATATACATATATACCTTATAGGGTCAGATACGTCTCCTTCACTGCATTACCAACTTTAGTCTAAAATTTTAATACTCCTTGCAGAGGGTATAAAAATAGATGTTGACCCTTTTCTGCACTGTTAGTCCTTAAAATTCCCAACAAAATTTTATTAGGGATAGTATAATTAAAAGTTATTAACAAGTCCAAAATGAATCCACCTCTATAAAAACAAATTTATCCACAATGCTATGGTATATATGTGTGTATATATTTTTTAATATTTCAACAAGCAAAAAAAATTCCATATGTGATAAAAGATGGTGATGGAAACCCTTAGGCTAAGTCTCAGTCTCAAACGTTTACAAAAAACATCACGTGCCCATCCGGTGGCTGGGGGATATACATGTATTTGGTTATAATCCCCGTAAGCTAGTACCGCTCCACCACCACGGAAGTGGGCCGCCACTGGACCTCCTTGTCCTTGTCCTTGTCCAAGGTCAGAGTGCTCTCCGCAAACGCTGCATTCAAATTTCCGGCCAACTGGGGCTGATCCTGCGGAACACTGGTCATGGCCACAACATTGGCGGAGGAGTTGCTCTTCCGGTTGGCGTTGCTTTAAGGGAAAAATACAAAATATTAATAAGATATAAATGGTTTATAAATATAAATTAAATATAATTTTAAGAGACAAGACAAGACCATAAACCGCAGTCCTTTTTCAGAATATCATATCTTGTTTAGAAATATATTTTCTGAATAGGAAGTAAATATGGTTTTAAGGGCAACCTGTCTTATAAAAAGAAAAATTATAAATTATAGGAATAACAGAAGGTACTTTTGTGCTTTAGGTTTAAAAAAGTTTAAACAAATTCATACAAACAAAAATATAAATTGGCATAGTTTACGAGAAAACTAAAGAAAATTTCATATATTAAGAGAGATTTTGCTTCTAATTTTCAAGATACAAATTAAGGTGTGTTATTTTTTTGTTATTCCTGATTCGGATTAGGGTCAGGATTGGACCAGATCCACTCACCTCCTCTGCTTGCGACAGGCCACCATGGACACTAGAACGGCCAAAATGATGATGGCCGCCAAAAGGCCGGACAATCCGGCCACCATGGTCATCATTCCGTGGGGCTCCCCGTCGGAAGTCACCTTGGTAACTGCAAACCGAGAGAAAGCAACAGGTGAGTTAGTGAGTGAGTGATTGAGTGACTGACTACTGGCGGTGACGTGCTGCTCCAATTTGGCAGGTGTGAAATGTAAATTCAACCAAGGTCACCTGTAAAGCTAAGCGCAGCTAATGCAATCTCTGAAAATGTGTATATTGGTAAATGGTTTGCTTTTTAACCGCACTGCGCTTGAGTTTAGATAGTCGACCTCTTATTAATATTCAAGAAAACAAAATTAAAGATCTTTTAAATTTCTTATAAAACATAAACTTAAGCTTAATTGTTTTCAGAGTAAAATAAAATTATTACAGTGTGAAGAGAACTAATTTAAATAAAAAAAATAAAAATAAACTGCATACTTCTAATTGATAATGACAGTAAACTCTGTTATTTAATCTCAATTTTTATAGTGATGCATTTTAGATTTTTCAAATTCCTTATAAAGCATCAACCTAAGTTTTATTGTTTTCAGAGTAAAATAAAATTATTACACTATGGAAAAATTAATATAAATAAAAATATAAAAATAAAATGAATACTTTAAATTGATAATTACAGTAAGCTCTGACTATTAATCTCAAATTTTATAGTGAATCCCATTTCTTTTTAGAAAATTTTATAGTGAGTGCCATTTCTTATTAGAAAATTTTAAAGCATATGTAAATCCCAATTTGTTTACTTTATTGTTAATTATTTTTTAGAGTGCATGGCGACGATGCTTTGTCGTCTCAGGGACAACATTGCCAAACGTCGACGACTGGCGTTGAACTTCAACTTGATCGGAATCCGATCTCATTCGATTCAAAATGCGTGGAGTGGATCGGCGGCAGCAGGTTTATTTAACTGCCGAACCGATGCCAACGCACTTCCGGGCTTTCTAAACCGGAAGAAAGGGGTAACCCCTGGCGATCACTCACTCGAGTCCTCCACAACGAACCGCTTGGTGTTGGGCGCGGATTGCACGTAACCACCCAGCTCCATTTTCAGGTCCATGTTCTGGAATATTAATATTGAATATTGGTAAGTATTTAATGTTTTCTTGGGAATTGTTTAATTTTTAATTATACTCTTACTAGCTTACTTAAACGAGTTTCTGCATTAATGTCAATAATTATTATATCTAACATGTCCAAGTTAGAAATTATTATATATTTTTTGTAGTGTACAAGTTAAGAAAAGGCAAGAGGAGGCCGTGAAACATCTGTGTAAATGCAGTTAGCTAACTGCAGTGATCAAACACTAATTAATCCAATGAAATACAGTGAAACTTTGATAATTCGAAACCTTAAAAACCAAAAATAAAGTAATGTTTTGATTCAGAAATATAAGTTTGAAGTACAATATATACGTTACTAACACTATACATTTCTTACAGTGTTCTTTAAAATTTCGAACTCTAAGGATAGACTCAAAAATTAATCCATAGACATTTCAAAAGTTCTCTGGAAATATTTGACATACATGCTATCGAATTTTCGAATTCGAAACATCGAAATTTCGAACTTTAGTTCTTACAAATTTAAGGATTATGATTTAAAGAAATTTTTTTGGGTTAGAGTTTCGAACTTTCAAATTTTCGAATTCTAAAATTTCGACTTCGAATGTCGGATCTTTGGAATTTCGACCGTACTGCCCCAGTTGCAGCAACCGCAGACGCACGCGCAGCGGCAGATGAAAAGGCACGCTCGACTTCACCGCTTCGACATCGAACTGTTGTTGGCCAATCGCCTCTGCCTCTGCCGCCGCCGCTGCCTCGGCTACCGCCTCTGCCGCAGTCGCCGTCGCCGTCGCTGCCTGCGTGCTTATTAATTGGCTTGGTGGAGCTGAGCTTATCAGCAGAGGGCAATAATTCTGCTCGAGTTGAGATGTCAGTGATTTATTTGGCCATAATTAATTTGATTTTATTGTTTACAGGCAATTTTCGGCGACGAAGCTTTCAAAAAAGCAGTATTCTTCACTTAATTGTGAGTGACAAGTAACTAACTAGCTGGCAAAACAGTAAGACTTCCTTGAGTTTATGCATATAGACATTGATTGACGGTAATTATAAAGCTTACTCTCCATTTAAAAGTTATTAAAATACTATATTGTTGACAATAAATTTGAAAACTTGTTTCTTGGTACAAAACTACACATTTCTAAAACAAAAATACCCCAGTTAGGAGAATGAAACCCATTAAAATAGTTTGTTTTAATTTTCTCATTCCCTTTGCGTTTCACGATAGGTCGGAAGTTAAGGAAGTTGGACTGTATATGTTGATAAGACACCCACTCACCATTTTAAAGCTGTGCAAACACTTTATAAATAAATTTAAAAACTAGTTTCCCCCTAAAAAATATCTCCCCAAGTGCGGAAGTATTTTTTTGAATATTTTTAAAGGTATCATTTGTAATAGAAAACTACTTGTTAGCTTAAATCGTTTTAGAATAATCTATATATATACAAAAAGTAGTTAAAATTTCCTAAGGAAATATATAACTTATTTTTAGGAAGAACGACTCTAACTGGTGATATCTCCAAATTAGAGGGGAATTTTATCTGTCACGTTTGCCAATTAGGCGTAGGTTGTAACCATCGAAAAACGAAGAAAATCGTGCCACTACACAAGTCTAGAAACACTTTTAGAAATAAGATAGCTATAAAAAACCCTTTTAGTGCCTTAAGTACCTGTTGAATTGGGTATATCTCTCGTTGTCACCTATTATTCGGGGGTTTCTTTTTGAACAAGCGTTTTGGGTACCCAAAAGGGAAATTTATTGGTTCATGTTTGGAATTTAAAGGCCCGTCTGATTAGCACAGAATGTTTGTTTTTTATTAGGTCCCCACATGATTTGCATGCGAATCGAATAACTATCGAAAACTAAACTATACAAAGAGAGCTGGAAATGCAAAAAGTACACCGAAAAAAGTTCTAGCTTTGTTTAAAAAGAGAATGAACATTACAGATCATAATATTTGGAATTTTAGAATGTTTCCAATTGAAAAATATGTGTTTCACATTAATTAATTAATTCTGCATTCTTTGTAGTGTCTTTATTATTTAAAAAATTCAAAATTTGGTATCTACAACCGTTAAATTTCCCTAATTTAGATACATTTGTATGGTACTTTTTCCGTGTTTATATATATTTTTCAGATAGTGATTTTGTGGGATGGGCCGGAAGGAAAACGGGATTGCATGCGAAATCGCTGGAGAAATGCGAGCACGATTTTCAGTTAGATTAATATGTACATCAAATTCTACGATACTATGTACACAATATGTGTAGAGTCGCATCTTCAGTAGTTTGTGTTTTTTGCCACCGCGCCATTAATAATTTAATTAATTTAATCATTTGTGGTGGCAACAATTTGCAATTTAATGGCACAAATTACGGCTTATGAATAGCACGGTGGCGAAATTTTCAAATTATAATTCGGCAATCATATGAATTTTCACATTAAAATTAAATCAGAACATTGATGGTTTCGCCACTGTCACTAAACTCACACTAATCAATTGATTATCAATGATAATTTGTTGAGAGCAGCAGCAGCAACTTGAGTTTGAAGCGTTAGTTCAAATATTAGGTAAGAACCACCACTCACTTGCAATATCTCCAAGGTATCGGTAGATATATCGCTGCTGGATTTGTTGGCCAAAGCGGGCGGTATTCGTATTTGGGAATTATGCTCGATTTTGTGTGTTTAACTCTGAACTAACGCCGCCGACAATCGGCGTTCGACTAATGCGCTCTACGTAAAGCCCAAACGTAACTTTCGATTGCGCCAAAAGAGGCGACTGCGACGCCAACTGCGCAGTCGGCCGATCGCCGAGAAAGGGGACTTAACCCTCTGTGGGCCGAAACCGATATTTTATTGCTCAAAGTCACACAGAAATAATATTTCGATCAGGCTTAATAAGTATATTAGTAAACTTATAATTTTTACCATCAAAAAACGTAAAGTTGATACTGGAAATGTTACTTTTTCCTTAAAAATGGTAGGCTAAATAACGTTTTAAAGATTATAAAATATTTTATAATTTTTAAAAAACTAAATAAAATTCAAAAATGTAAACCAAATATTAAATTCCTTGAAATGTTAAAATTCAAATAATAATTTATTTAGTTATGTTTAATTTAAAACCTACAATTTACACAAACCATTGAAATAAACAAACTTAATTACTCATACGCAGTGTTGGCTCTCCCTATATAAGTTTTGAATTGTCAATATTTGTATTACCCAATTTCTTGTTTGCACACCACACAAATATGTAAAAAAAAACCAAAATATATTTACTTAAATGCCGTCACAAGAGCTTTAAAAGTATATCACTCATACGCACCGTTGTCTCAGCATGCCTAATTTGATTACCATTAATTAATATGAATTAATATTTATATTTTGTATACAATTGTCAATCTGTCAGCTATTAAAATTAAAAACACTGTTTTTGTTTTAGGCGCATAAGTTAATATTTAATTTTATTCAAATAATACAAGTCACAGTTTATAATAGATAGGCGCATTAAAGGCAATTATCTTCGCTAATAAATAAAAAAAAAAAAAAGTATAAATTCTGTATTATTTTAAATTATAATTTCCGAACATACCTATCAGTTTTGAAGAGTTATTTTGTGGTCTATCGCAGTCGCCCGGGGGGGTTAAACAGGAGGCAATCGGAAGCGCGGGGACGGGATCTCTGTCAAGTTGAGCTGGGTCTAGTCTCCAAAGTGATACGAATATGATCTCAAATCTAATTAAAATGTAACGAACGCAATGGAATTGAAATTGTAGCCAAATGAAAGCGATGCCAGCGCCTCAATGCCAGCGATCAAGTCACTTACTAATGGAACAGCATTTACAGTAGATCAAGGTGGGGGAAGATCGGATCGTCGGGCCCCTTGGGGACATGATTTATCGATTTGCCGATAGCGTATACCTGATAAGCAGCATAGAACACGACCCCCGGTAGACACGAGAAAAGAATTTGTGGTACATACATGTAGAATGTACATACATGGCGCCTTACCGCATCTAAGGGTGCTCATCACAGCAGCGGTTAAAATAGTATGGGTGTTGGAAAAAACAAGTACTACGGTAATTGGGTGTCTTATCGCTCAGGAAAATCTGTTATTATAGATTTTAGCTCAACAGTATATTACAAAACGAAGTACATCCCTTGGGAAAGCTTGTAAAAATTGAAATTTTAGTATGTGGTCTTATAAGAAATTGTAACTTTTAAATATATTCTAAAATATATAGCTATAACTTGTACAATTCCACCCCCAACTGTTTGTGTTTAAGCAAACCTCCAGTCACGCCCAGGGTGCCAACAAATGGGCGACAAGTGTTTTCGCAATGACGCAGATGGACTGGCCAATTGTTTTTTGTTTTCTCCCACAAATTGAAAATCCAAAGTCGGTTCTGTTCCGGTATTCCGGTACGGAAACATTCTTCAGACAGAAGGTGAATCATAAATATATAGTTACCTCCAACCTATCTTCAAATACTTAAGAGCTTGTAGAAAAAATAACACCATGATATCAATAAACGTTCCTAAAGGCTAACACTTTAACCAGTAATAATAGCTTAATTTTCATATCAATCTATTTATTTTTCAATTAAACAGCAATGACTAAGATTATTTGTATGGCAAGAACATATACCTTATTATTAAACTTATGAGTGCTGTCATGTTCTTTCTTTAAGATAAGATTTTGCACGAAATGTTTCGGTTCGATTATCACTGCTTTTAATCAAAAAATCAAAGGATATCTTCTAAAATGCATTGTCACTTTATTGGGGGTTTTCCCAGTTCCGTCCAGAGTTTTCGAAAATATAGTATATTCACTAAGACAGGCCGTGCGATTTTGGACTCTCCAATCAGTGCTATAATTCGAACAAGTTGTTCACGTTCTGCCAAATCATCTCCGGTGTGTAGTACACAGTGAGAAATAATTTATAGGATTTATTTAGTTATTAAAAAATTATTAAACAAGTATCACATTTGTATAGTGTTATTAAAAACACATTCAGGTTTTAGTTCAATGGAGAATAGTTAATATAATAATACCTATTTATTTGAAAACTTGTTGATTTAATAGAATTTCCGATAAGAGGAGACCGAAGATAAATAAATCAAATTGACCATGGTAAAATTAAATTGAACTATACTTTTTTATGTAAGATTTAAACAGTCCAAAAAAGGTATTTTTAGGCTTAGTTACTTCAAGGCATTCGACCTATCAAGTGTACTTGATTTACACTCCCCAGCTGAAAATCCCAAGACCCTCTACCTTTTTAGACTTCCAAAAAGCATAACCATAGCAAAAGATAGTGACGTCTTGGGGCGGCAAACAAATTGCTATAAATAAATGGCAATCGCAGGTAACTTCTGGCCTAGGAATCCGGCGGATCCATGGGCTACATAATACTCAATCAGTGGGCCAGACTGCCCAACCACTCGGCATTATCTCCCACCGATTTTGGCCCAGATAAACCGTTTTGTTTACGTCTTTTGCACCAAGAAATCATCTTGTTTTTGTTGTCACATGAATTTGCGTTTCAGAAAAGAAATGAAAATGTATATAAAAAATGTATGGAAAACATTTGTTGTCGTGTTGTTTATCAACATTTACAATTGTGTTTGCGAAAATCGAACTTTAAGTTGGGAAAATATTCGCTATTTGCTTGCAAGTTGGGGCCAATTGACAGCTGCATTGGGCTGCTAATAGCGAAAAGCAGTTTGTTTGGCCAGCAAACAATTAGCGGATGTTTAAGGGCTCCTTACGTGGAAACAATTCTGGGAAAACCACATATTTCCCACTTTCCACCTAGTCACAACACAGGCTATGACTAGTGAAGGGTTTTTCCAAAACTATGTTATGGCTGTCTTTATTGGACTTCGCTAATATCTTTAAAATATATTTAAAATTATTTTCTAAATGGTTCCATTTAATGGTTGTGCCACTCCACAATCCCCTTTCTTAAACACCTTTTTTACATATATTTGTATATTATTTATTTTGGTTATTTTAAGCTCCAAACAACATTTTGTCAAATATTTAGCTTGGTAAACAGTGGAAATTCCCACCAGGTCTGTTTAAATAGTCTGCAAATTGTCTAATAAAAACAATTAGACGTCATTTAAGCACCCCCAAAAATGTATAAAAATTCCTTGCAAATAGTATAGAACTGCCTAGATTTCCGTACGCAGAGCTACGGTCAAGGTTCCCATCATAAATACCGATTTCTCAGACGATTCCGATTGTTTCCTGTTCTGGGTTCTCTCGCCAGATGGGATCTCTCAAAATGTACGGATCATATGTACTGGAATTAACGCTCAAACAGGCCGTTGACTGATGTTTGCAATTTACTTAATTTGATGGCCCCGTGCTGGGTACGTTTTAAAGGCGATTTAGAGATTGTCAGGCGTCAGGCGACTAAAATAAAACCAAAACCGAAATAAACAAAAAAATGAAAATTTGTCGCACTTTTAATTTGAGTCAACAATCAGCGCACTGTGTCGACTTTTTGCTTGTTTTGTCTTTTGCGCAATTAATGACACAACAATTTACAAGTGATTTTTCAGTGCAACACGACACAATGCGAATTATTTACAGCCGAAAGCGATTTTGTTAATTTGCTTGTACGCTTTTTTCTGATTTTTTTTTAATTGGGTGTTACAACGTCAGAGGCATTTTCCCCAATGAAAGCCGCCCAGAGCTTTCCCATTCTACACACGATCAGTGGATAATATACATATATCTTTGAACACATATATCTTATTCTTATTCTTGACATTAAAAATAAACGAGAGCGTGTGTAAAGATCGTCGTTGTTTGTCGGGAAACCAAAAAAAAAAAGAAAAGAAGCGAAACTCGGAAAATGCCTCCCATCCCACGACATTAAATGGAAGTAAGGCGATTAACTCACTCCCTTAATTTATGCACGTGCAAAATTCGTGACGAAATTGGCAAATTCCTAATTGCAGATTGCAAAATTCTCACCCGGCCAAACAATTTATGTAAATTCTGAACGGTTTCACTTGTTACAACATTTCTAGAGCGTCATCGTTACACACAAATAAATACACCTATTATTAGATTATAAATTGAAATTAAAAAAAAAAAATTTCTAATAAAACATACATTTTTAATTTAAAACTTACATTTAAACAGAAAACTAATTTTAAAAGCTTATACTATAAAAATGAGTTTAGTTTATAACAATTTATAAAAAAAAACCTAATTTAATATAAAATTAACATTTAAACAGAAAACTAATTTTAAAAGCTTATTCTATAAAAATTATTTTATAAAAAAAAACTAATTTTGTGAAAAACAACATTTTGTATTCCAATATTTTAAATATTTATATTTTACAATATTAAAATTATAAATATTAAAATGTTTTTATCTCTGTTTCTTAAAAACTAATATTAATATAATTTCGTAGTTTATAAAACTGCATACAAAATCTAATTTAGGGGAAACCAACATTTTGTATAAATTCATATTCATATTTTTAGAACAATATCTTTAGTAGGTAAAAAAGAAATACAAATATGATACTTTTTTAAGCAATGTGTAGTTTTTAGATAAATTGAATGTACCAAATTGAATTTAAAACCAATAAAATGTTTAATTTAATAAAATATCTTAACAAATATTTTTTTTTTATATATAAATATTTTATCGCAGTGTAGCTGCCCATTGACGCAATCGGCCACTCGCAACAATAGCGGTAAGGGCAACAATAACTACTGCCGGCAGCAACAATTACTTGTGATAACAGCCACATTAATTTTATTGTCAAAAAGCATCCACCCCCGCAACGATCGCCCCCTCATCCGCACACCCACATCCAGATACGGACATTTATATATGTTAGTATAAGCCCCGCCGATCGCGCTTAGCCATATAAATTGCCATTGCGACTGATAAATTACACTAATCGCTGGCGGTGCCGACGTTTCAGCTTTGTTTGCCCGAAGCCCCTGCCACGCCCCCTCTCTGGGCACGACACGATCTTCTATAGCAGCAGCCGATCCGATCCGATCCGATCCGATCCGAGTATATATGCTATAGAAATCAGAGAACAAAAGCAACACAAAGAAAGCTCTGGGGCTAACAAAGGTCTACAGGGAAAGTGAAAGTAATTAGCAGTAACTCCCCCTGATTTATTATCCAATTTCATTGCCAGCTGGATTTTAGCTTGGGTTATAAATACTTTTAGGCATACCTGGTTCAGTAGCGCATGTAACATTTAAATGGATAATTTGGGATAGGAAAATGTACGTAATTATTTTTGGAATTTACATATTACACATCAACTATAGAGATTTGATTTATAAAGATAATAAATGATATGTTATCTAGAAAAAAGACCTATTTAATCCACTTGGATTACTTAAGATACACGAGTTCCTGAGATCTGAAAATGTGGATAGTAAATAATATCCCAGTTTAGGTTTTTGGGTACCAGAGGTAAGTAAGATGACATTATAAACTAATATCTGCGGATAAATTAATAAATGTGGATAGTAAATAATATCCCAGTTTAAGTTTTGGGGTTCCAGAGGTAAGAAGTTTGACAATTTATTATAAACTAATATCTCAGTGCCGAAAGATGGAGTTTAACTTGGTTTGTTTTCTGAGAGAGTTCAACCCAAATTTACTGATGGTACGATCCTGTTGAAGAGGTCTCCTTTGGTAACCCGTAGCAATTCGATCCGATCCCGATACTTGGAGGCTTGGCATCAGAGATCTAGAGCGACTCAATGCTGGGCTTCTTGTTCTTGTTCATGCCAAAGTATCCCCACCAGGATTTGCGCGATCTCGATGCATCGGCGGGTGCAACACTGGGGGCCACCGAGGCGGTGGTATTACGAACAGCTCCTCGGGAGGCGGCCGCCAGGGATTGCTCCGTATTGGACATGCTGCTCACACTGGACTCGGGCGGCTGGCCAGCATTGGTGTTGGTGCTCCTCCTGCTGGCGGATTTGCCGGATTTCGCTGACTTCCCGGACTTGACGGTACGCACGGTGTCCAACGAGACCTCGGTCACATTGGCCAGACTGGGCAGCGGGGTAATACCCCCATTCCGGTTACGACGCTCCCGATTCCGACCTCCGCCGCCGAAGAGTTTGTTCAGATACGGCATGCACATCCTGGAACGGAAACTTTGGACACAGGATCAGTTGCGATCGGCTGAGGTATAATTTTGGGGAATTATGCTCTACAGTTGTGTACGTCCTAAATTTTGCTACTACTATTTGGATGGCATCGAACGAGAAACTGGAACTGTGACAGTCGCCTCACGGGTAAATAGATTAGGTTATAATTATAAAAAATACTGTGTTTAAAGCTACGCTCAAAAATAAAAAAATTTTTTGATTGTGATTTTAATTAGGAGTTTACTTTCTATTACGTACAAGTTTTTAAAACCTCAATAATTTCTCTTTAATCATTGTTTACAAACACAAAGTAAATTTGTATCTACATTGAATTAAGTAGCTTAAAAATGTTACGAAAACCTTAAAAATCTCAAAAACCATGTATAGAAGATACAAAAAGATACAAGATACAAAATAATTATTTTTAAATACATCTTTATAAAAGCAAAAAGGAAACTATAATGGTGGGATGGAGATAAATTGTTTATGGAAATAATAGGTATATTTTATGTCTGAAAAAAAAATTAGGTTAGTGATAAATACATAAAAAACATTTCCTGGGATCGATAAAATGTTTAAAACGCTGGTGATTAAAGGAAGTAACATTCAACATAGACAAACCTTAACACACTGTTTGAATTGCCTATGGCTGTTCTAAATTTAACTTAAGCTAGGGGAGTATTTGGTGCGAAGACCACTCGAAATGCAAAGAAATGCGCCGCTTGGGGCCCAGATGTCTTAAGAGTTATTTATAGATCTGCTGGAACTACGACAATCCCTGCCACATCCAATATCCACAGACAACAAAGCGGCTCAGTATCTTAGTATCCCGGGATCAGTTGCAAGCAAACCATGCGATCGATTGGAGTTCGTGGAATGGGCCAGCCGCTGGGCATCCGGATCTGCTGTTGTCGCGTGTGCACCTGCATCAACTTCGGTTTCGTTATGTCGCGGATCGGTCTCCTGAAGCTGATGGAACTGGGTCTGGCCATGTTGTGCGAGGGTCTGCTCATCAAGTATGGCATTCCGTACGGCGACTCCATTGGCCAGGCGCTGACCAGTTTCCTGGCCACCACGGGTCACTGCTTCACCACCACCGGCATCCTGCTGCTGTGCTACGCCTTCTCCGACAAATCCTACAGCCTCATCAGGCAGTCCCTGTTTGTAAGTAGCCCTAAGAAACATTAACATTGTACATATACTGCAAGCAAATATCATCATTACATTAATTTTTCGTTCTTGCGCACAACAAACTTTTGGGTAAAATTGACCAATATAATAGTTAAATGTTGCCAACCCACCGTAATGTCAATTTAAACAACGAAAAAGTTACTCTCCTTGCAACAAAATACACACAACCTACCATTTTATGGTCGTTTGACCATAAAATACAAACTTTTTTCACTTTACAATAAAATACGCACTATTTTTTATAGTTGGTAACTTTTTTTACAGTTAGGTAACTACCCATATTGGTCAATTTTACCCATAACATTTCTATGTGTATACATTATATATTATAGTACATATATTATAAGTTCTTTCTTGCAAACATTTTTCATTACCTTCCATCAAACAATTTAAAATTTTTTTTAATTTTCCTTAAAAACTTATTTTAACTTTAGTAAATCCGACTAATTTTTATTTTAATAATTAAAATGAAATTCCATACATCCGCAACTGAAGAAAATCATTGTACAATCCCACATTTTTCATACCAAAAGCGGGACATCTTACTTATTTTTCAATTCAAGGAATTAGTTTTAATTATTTCCCGCAATCCTTCGCTGACCTCATTTTCCCTATAATTCCAGGAAACATTGTTTAACGTCCTCGCTAGTTGCATGTACTTCAGCTCAGCCAGTTACATGGCCTTCGCTTGCGTGGTGTGGCTGCATCCACAGTTCGTGGTGCGACCCGGATTCTGGGCATATCCGGCCATGATGGCCTGCTATGTAAGTGCTAAAAATGTTAGAATATAATCCAAACCTCAAACAATAATCCTTTTATCCTTGACTTTCAGTACATGGGCTATGCGGCGGGCATTTTGCATGCCCTGGATGCCTACTTGGCATTCCGGCACTTTCGAGGGGCACGCTAATCCCAGCCAGACAAAATCAGTATCTTAAGTAATTTGTGGACATATTTATATGAGTTTTAGGTTTAAGGCACCTTGCTTCCGATGGTCTCAAACATTCACAGTAAAAGCGCTTAGTCGTATGTTTATAAATAATAACCTTTAAAATGGACTGGTTTGATTAGCACCAAAAGGAGTGGGAGATCCGGAGATTAGGCCAGTTACGCCATCTTGTTGACCTCCGCCTTGAATTTCCTGTAAATACCATGAGGTTTAGAGGTGCTTTTCTTTCCAGTTGAGAGTGTTGAAACCCACTTGAGTTGCTTGAGAGCCTGGCTGGTTTCGTAATCCGCCTTTAGCAGCCCGATACGAACCCAACGCGGCCGCTCGTGGATAACCTTGTGGATGAGGAACTTCAGGCCCAGCAGTAGGTGCTCGAAGATCACGAACGAAAGATCCGGCACCGAAGGCAGCCAGTGAGAAAAGAAGTCCCTAAGGTAAAGGGGAGGGTAACGTAAGTTAAGCCAAAGTTTGAAAAGGTCACCACTCACTTGACATTGGGCTGGAGGAATAGCAGTCCGCAGTTGCTGAGCAGCGACATGACCGAGAGCAGCTCAAAGGCCAGCTGCCAGGCGCCGATATTCTTGGCTCGCCTCGCAAACGGTCGCTTGAAGATGTTGCACAGCTTCCACATGTCAATGTGCACGGCAAAGACATTGTTCAGCAGAGCTCCAATGGCGGCAAATGGGGCGACGGCGGCAAATAGGACAACGAACCCAAACTGAATGCACACCTGCAGGTAGTCCTCGTACGTGGAATGGTATTCATCTAGCCCAGACTCATAGAAGGATTGCTCGTAGCGCGGCAGATCGCTAATCGATCGCAGCTTCTCTTCGGCCACCTCGCGATGCCGGAACTCGGCGTACTTCTGGCGCAGAACCGCCAGCAGCGGTATGCCAATCTCCTGGGCGATGCACAGCACCTGGAAGACCAACAGCTGCATCATCAGCTGGTATTTCAGCTGGCGCAAATCCTGCAGCACAAAGGCAATGTAAAACTGCGAAAAGAAGTTGTTGACGATCTCGAAGAGCATCAGTTTGTTGACCCGATGACGATCGTACTGCGACCGCGTTCGGTGGTTCTCCAGGTTGGTAAGGAATGTGGCCAGCTTCTCGTAGGCCCACGAGAAGATCGCAATGAGCACCGACTGCACAATGACCGGCACGTACAGCAGCCAGGACTCCGGTCCGAAGTCCGCCAGCACCTCGGCCTCGATCTGGAACTGGTAGAGGGCAAACCAGCCGGCGGCCACCACACAGCCGAGGACCACCGGATACGAGATGCAGTACATCTGCAGGTACGTGTAGCGCATCGGGTAGTGGAGTGTCATCTTTCCGGTAATGGGATCCGGTTTCATTTTGCCGGTGTAGGCGGAGCGCGGTTTGTCCAGGCTGCTCATCTCGATGGTGCCCCATCGGTACGAGTAGCCGGCGCACCTGCGCTTCCACAGCTCAAGGAAAATCTGCAAATATTTACATATTTATTCAATAGATGGGTAATAAACTTTCTAAATTAATACGAAAGGCTAGGCTTGGGTTAATCTCTTGGGCAAAATACATAATTAATTTAAATACATTAAATATTATAGGTTCTAAGTAACCTTTTTATTTATGTTGTGTCGAAAGATCTAAAGATATTTTATGTTCGTATAACACAACAAAATTGTGAAATTCTTAAAACTGCAAGTTTAAAATACACACTAGCTATTTTTATTATCGCACTTAAAAGTTTCCAACCCAAAGGCACTTAAATGGTGCTATATTTAGACTTTGTCACATTTAAGATTTATACATTTTAAAAGCAATCTATTTTGAATGTGCAGAATTTTACTTTGTGACTGAACAATTGAACTCACCGTGGTCCAAACCACATAGAAGCTGCAAACCAGCGAAATATTCAGGTCGAATACGCATTGAAGTATGCCAAAAACCGAGGGGAAGATTAGAGCCTTTGTGTAGAACTCGATGAAGCCGAAATAAAGTCCTATGCTGGAACCGAAGTAGTTTCGGATATCCTCGATGGGCAGCGTGGTGCGTTTCAGGTCCCAGTTAAAGCGTTCCAGGTAAAGCTAAAAGGAAAAGGTTTGTAAATTATTATGTCCTTTAACATAAAAAACTTACAAACTATCACAAATAAAACTAAAACTCACGATATCGTGCAGGGGAAACATATCCTCAATGTAGCCCTTTTGTACATATGACTTAATGCCATCCTGGATCACGTCCTTGATGAGTACAGGTATCTCGCAGTAACGAAGGATCTGCTCCTTGCCCATTCCGGGCAGAAGGAAGTCCGAGATGCAGCCGTGGTTAAACTTCTGCATGCTGTTCGTGGTGGTCATCTTCTCCAGCTCGGCGGCATCGGCTAAACGCAGCAAGGTATCCACGCTGGCGGACAGGTATAGGTACTTTTCGGTTTTTCTGAAAAAAAAAAAAATATCAGGTACTTCTATATTTGGGGTACATCAATAAATCGTTTCAATAGCGTTTATATTTTTAACTTGTTTGGAAAAAATCAATCAAAGTAGATATGACATTTCTGTTCTTTTCAAATAGCGAATTCGATTTAATTTTCCCTGTTCGGTAAATCAATAGTTAAATGGTGATAAGTTAATAGTTTTAAATTTCAGTCCAATTTAAAAAATTCCATTTTAGAAATAGTGTATACATTGTATGTTTATAAACAATGTACTTTTGATCTTATTAAGACTGGTTTCTTTGCTAATTTAAAATGATTTACTGATTTATCCTAGATTTGAAGTGCTCGCCAGAAAAATGTTGTTTGATATAGTAATTATGTTTAAACAAACCTCTAAGGATTTGTTGGATCATTAAAAAAACACTTGAACTCTTTGTTGAATTACATAAATGGTGTTTACATTAGTTAATCTATAAACAAAGAATTTTTGATTATATACAGATTCTTTTGTTTAGTTTTATGAGTTGAGAACATCGACTGCATTTTCTTTTCTAGATTACTTAAAACCGTATTATTTCTATATTAAATATTGACACAAGGATTATTTGATTGATTTTTGTATGTTATATATATTATTTTTAAATAATTGGATTGTTAAGATGGATTTTTCCCAAATTTTCATGTAATTGTACTTTATTATTGGAATGGAATTAAGTTAGTTACACCATCAGAAGCATTTTATGTCGATATCAAATATTGACTTTAAATGTTGATTTAAATATGATATTTTTTCATTGTTTGAGTGGGTTATATAAACAATTTTAAAATAGGTTGTAGAATTTTAAAGATTAATTCTTTTCTTAGAAATTTGAATCATATAACGTTGATTTAAAATCGAATTTATAGATTTTATAAGTTATATAAATTATTTTTGAAGTTTAAAAAAGTTCATATCTATCTAACAACATTTTAATTATAATATTCTTCACAACCACATATGTAAGCCCTGCTTACCCCACGATCTCCAGCGTGGTTTGGATGCCAAACTCCTGGATGATCTTCTCCACATCCTGGCAGTGTCTCAGCTTGGCCTTCTCCGTGAATATGATGACGATGTGGGTCTGTTCAGATCAGAAGGTTTTTGTGATTCGGTTGAGACTTTTAGACGGCCCCGGATTTAAAATACAATGCGACTGACCTTGTCGAAGGGTTCCGGATCTGGGCCCGATCCCTCAGCCCCATCGCCAGAATCCAAGGTCCGCTGGCGCTGCAGTGCCTCCAATTTCAGACTGCGCTGTCGGCGGAACAGCTGGTTCTCGATGATGTTCCGTGTGCGTGGTCCTGGACCTGCGAAATGTATGATACATGTGAGATGATTTACCAATCTACATATTAATTCCGGGGTTCTAGAATCTGCTCGGCCAGCATTATGCACTCACTCTTGGCATCTTCGGACATCGTTTACGGGTGACGGCTGATGACGAGTGGTGGCGTCGCGCTGAACTAATAACAAAATATAACAATCACATCCACATTGAATCGCACCGCCGAAATATAAATATGTACAATATACTCACAGAATTCTCTCATATGAGTAAGTGCTCGCTATCTCGCTCCCTCCCACGGCGTGCGTTTGAATGTTAATTGCGTGTATTTTGGCCCGTGCCAATGCCAAAATACTGAATTTTTAATAATAATGCCAAAATATTTCGCCTTTAGCAGTTCTTGCCGGTTCGAAGTGCTTTTTGTTGTTGTCCCAGCTTCGTGGCGTGTGTGACGTCATTGCCGCCATGTTTATCGGATTTGGATTGCTTCGTTTGCCGCAGCAGCAATAACACACTAATTACAACAAAACTTAATTAAAGTCATAATTGATTTCGTTTCAATCTTGTTTAAACTATGTGCAATTCCCCTTTCCCGCCATTTCGACATTGCAGCCAATCAATCATTTATCGATTACCATTTGCAACTCTGTCAGAGATGCGCAATGGCTGCACCAGTGACTGGAAGTCACGGCAGAAGCGAACGGTGACTGCGCGGTGAGTAGGAACCGCCAGCCGGTGTAAAGCGGTTTCAACGGGTCTTTTTCAACAGTGATCAGAGATGCGTTTTTCTTGGACTAATGAAAATCGATAGCACGAAATGGTATATGTATATTTAATATGTAAGCTTCACTTGAAAAAATTTTTTTTTGGCTAGCTCAAGGTCTTACTTTTTTAGTTTGAGAACTATACTTCTTTTGCATTTTTTGGTGTCCATCTCTCTGTTTCTAGCTACCGGGATGAAACCTTCCCAAAAGTCGTCTCTCAATTGTAGGTAGTTTACATATAAATCGGATCGATTCTTTTCGGACAATTAAATCCGTTAGTTCCCATAGTGAAAAAAAATCTAAACTATACCATTATTCTGGAAAATTAACTTAGGATCCTTTTTCTACGAGCAAAAACAAAATAAAATGTTTGTTGTTACTGAAAAAATGTTGTAAAAAAACGATTTAAGTCCTCGTCGACTTAGACTTTATTTTTGACAGAAATATACAAACGATTTTACTTACTTATCATTACACAAACAATTCAAAGAAATATTGTACATACAAATATACATATACATTCAATATTGGATAAAGCTATAGCCCTATAACGGCTTAGGCTTAATCATCATTTCAACAAAGGTAAGAGAGCGCGGCCGTTAGTAGTTCTACCAGGAACCCCAAGTAATTCCGTTTAATTTTGTACCTTCAGTATTACGCTCTTTGCAGAACTTCATTCAGAAAGCTGTAATTTGTGCTTGCATTCGTATGATCGGATAGTTATTATTTGAGTCACAAGCTGTACAGCCAATTTTAAAGTTATTATAATAAACGTAGCACTAGCTACATTCACTTTGCCAAGTTTAATGTAAAGTTTGTGAAACCGGGAAAATCTCCTTTTATGTTTCCAAATCAATCTTCATAATCCTTCCAGGTTCGATCGAAGTTCTCGGAGCCGTCAAAATGTTTTTGAATAGTTAACCAACCACTTGAATAAGTGGAGCTTAGAATGAATTTATTCCACGTATTTTGATTGGATATAAAACAAAACCACCTTTTAAGGAGGTGACGATATAAAACTTATATCTGATTTTTGCGACGAAAAATAAAATAGGAAGCTTTCATATAAATGTACTTTGCAGAAAAAATATCTAAATATTTATTACAAAGCATTAAATTTGTTGTTTTCTCAATTTTTTTATATTTTTTTCTAGAATTATGTCTTAATGGCCGTTCCCTTAAAAACATTTAAATTACTCATTAAAAACATTAACTTTTGTGGTCACGGCACCAGCAGTCCGTCGGTCTGGCAACGCCCTTGGGAACTAGGCCTACCCCGGGTGGCAACGTTGCAATCAGCTGGAACTTTTGCCGCCGCGCTCTCCCTGAAACATTGTGATGCAATTTTGTTGTTTTGAGGCCTACAAGTGAAAGTTTCCACTGATAAGCAGCCGTGAATTCAGCCTCCGCCCAATAGCCGAGAAGACGAGATTTCCCTCCGTGTTAGCCAGGCTACAAATCAATCGTTTGAGTCACCAGAAGCAGTTGAATCCGCTGAACTCGCTCCGCATTCCGAAGGGCGGCCGCACATGGAGCGCAGGGTCAAAGCCGCGCCAGAAATCAAAAAAGATAGCGCCAGCCGATGAGCGGCCTTCGAGGAGTGGGCGCGGAGGTCTAACCTCAAAGCACAAGCACAATCCGCAGCATCGGCACACAGAGATTCCCGTTTTCCATTCCCATTCCCGCAGGATTCTGAGGATCCACAGAGGAGCTTCGTTCGCCGCAGGATGCAGCGCATCATGCCGGCATCCTGGACCAGCGGCAGCCTGCTGCCCTTCCGCGTCTCCACCACCACAAAGGTGCGTTTTAAGTTTAGACTACTCTTAAAAATCATAAGAAGGTTTAGGATAAGATGAAAAAAGCTTAAAAAGCATCAGGAACTAAGGGTAGATGAGGGATAAGGTCTAGAAGGTCTTGTTAGCTAGAAACAATGGTAGACCTTAGGCGATACAAAATAAGGACATTATCATCAGTCTAGAATAACCACAGGAAGTATTATATATATTGTAAAAGATCATAAGACTGTTGTAGGAAAACTGAATGGCTGGCCAGTATTGTTGAAGCTTTAATAACTAAGAGATACTTTCAATAGAGTTTGTTGAAAGATATTGAGTAACATTGGAGGCTTCAGAATATAAATTACTGGCAATCAAAACAATTACTTACCCTCTGAATCCTCACCAGGTTGTCCTCTTCTCGCTGACCGCCGGTGTGGCCCTGATGAGCGTACTCTCCCGCTTCCTCCGGCGCCGCAAGCCACCGCGTCCGCCCCGACGGGCCAGGAAGTACACCGGCAGGAGAAACCGCAACAGCATGCGCAGTCCCAATGACCTTATCTCAATAGCCGGGTCCAAGGCCTCGGCGAGATCGGGCAGTCCCGTTGGCTCCACGATAGCTTATTCAGACCGCCTGTCCATGGCCTCCGGTTCGATTGGCGTTGGCTTGATGAGCGTACAGAATGCAGGTCCTGGACCTGGCTCGGTGGTCACCCAACTGACTGCCCAACAGCTGGGCATGATGGGCATGGAGGCGCTGGACACGGTGATCAACTTTTGGGAGGACGCCCTGGCGGCTCATTATTCGCCCGGTGGACTGCCCGCCCTGTTAACGACGGCGGAGGACTCTGAGTTCTGCCGCGAGATCCAGAACCTCCTGGAGATGGCCTACACGCTGCAGGAGCAGAGCGAACTGCTCTTCCTCGACCAGCGTTCGGTGCTGTTCCGCGAGGAGCATTCCATTGACGAGGCCGAGGAGGAGGCGGGTGAGACGGACGACGATCGGCGGTCGCGTAAGTCCGGCAGCGTCTTAAGTCGAGCAGGTTCCGATCCGAACTTTGATTCCGCGGAGAGCTTTGCCTCCGCACTAGACCAGGTGGCGGATCTGCGGGAGTTCGACGGCTTTATCGAGACCTCGTACGAGGAGTATCCGCTATTCCAGACTGCCCTCAAGCACCACGATGAGTACACGGTGCCGTGCCGCACTATTCGGGCCGAGCTGATGCACTGCAGCACTGACACGGAATATTTAGCCAAGCTCCACTGCGTCCGACTGGCCTTTCAGTTCCTGTTCAAGGATCCCGCGGTGGGCCAGTGGATCTGCGATTCCGGCCGACAGATCCTTACCGATCTTCTTTGTCTGGGCGATAAGGATACCAAGGAGTTTCTCGTGGGCTACGAGGACATGGTAAACTATCTGCACGACAGCAACAACTGGCCGTGCATCCAAATGGAGCTGGAGCAGCGCAATGTCAAGGCGATGACCTTCTACGACATCTGTCTGGACTTTATCATCCTGGATTCGTTCAAGGACCTAGATGCACCGCCCGCCAGCGTTACGGCAGTGGTGCAAAACCGCTGGCTGTCCAATGGATTCAAGGAGACGGTGAGTGAACTCTTCCCAAGTCGAGATCATACATTAATTTATGTGTGTTTTTCCAGGCTTTAACCACAGCCGTGTGGTCGGTGCTGAAGGCAAAGAAGCGGATGCTTAAGTTCCCCAACGGGTTCATGTCGCACTTTTACGTGATATCCGAGCAGATATCGCCACTAATGGCCTGGGGCTTCTTTGGACCCAACGAGAACCTGCGCGACATCTGCCACTACTTCAGGGAGCAGCTGCTCGCCTTTCTGGGCGACATCTTCAGCTTCCAGAAGAGCCGCTTCACCACCATCGAGGAATTCTCGCAGGACGTGCTGCAGCACATGCAGACGCGCGTCAACAACATTGGCGTGAAGTTTAGCCAGTAAACTTCTAATCTTTAGCCTTTTACCCATACTTCTTGGACTCCCTATAACTTTTTTACAAACGCGTTTGGTTCGGTAGTTTCCCTAAGAAATACTCCACAAGTTGACTAATTTTAAAGCCACATGCATCCCAGCCACACGACACCAAATCCACGCATCGTCATTGTATGAATAAGCTGCATTTAAGTCGCCAAAACATATGTAAAATAAAACTGTTTACCGCCCGCTCCGAGCAAAAATCCAGCTGCGATGCCTCCAATTGCATGGGAGAAGTGGGCCTAGATAACCGAGACATCGCATACCCTGTAACTATATAATTCAGTGACACCTACATAACTACGCACAAAAGAAGTTACTTAAGTCAAGAATCAAACATGAATTAGTTATTTAAAAATTGTTAAGACCATTGGAATTTTATGTTTTGTTACAATTTTGCTGAGCTATGTTACATAGTTATGTTATATCGATGAAAAAGTTAAAAGATTTATGTTGAAATTGATGATCATACGTAGTATATTGAAAATGGTTTAATATTTTTTAATGAAACGAACAATTTAGAGATTAATTAAGCACTTCAAGACATAATAACCAGCCTTTCAGTAATAGTAGGTTGACTATGGTAGTTGAACACCTAACAAGTCGAATCATTTGAAATACTTTATTTACCAAACTAAGAACCAATCGTTCCTTTAAGTGATGAACCTTTAACTTTAGATAATATCCTCCATAAAAATGTTTTTTGTAAACTTATTCTGAATTATGTGAAATATAAAGATCAGATTATGACAATTGAAAGTGCGGAAATTAGTATTATAGGGTATGAGTAGGCAGAGAAGTTGGAATCAGAAGGCAATCTCCACCGAACGGCAGTCTTTGCCTTCGGCTCTGTTGAACAAGATGTGCAAGGGAGTGGGTCTCTGTTGCAGCCTTCTGTCACTCGGCGCCTTCGTGAGTTGCTGCCCGGCTCATGTGCGCCAAGATCCAATCCCTTTACCATATCCCACCTATGTAGATTTCCTGCTTTGTGGCCCTGCACATGCTCAACAAGATCATCCACATCCAGCTGGACGCCGTTGTGCATGTGAGCATTAAATTGAAGGCCGAAGAAGACTCGGGCTTGCGCTGTCAAAAGACTCTGATCGTGGACAATCTGGATGCACCTCATCTGAGCTGGCTGGAACTCTTCTACATGCGCTGGACAGTGGTGTTTACGCTGCTCTACTCCTTTGCTGCAACACTCCTCATCCGGGCCAAATACTTGGGCAACTTAGATATCAGCCGGGCCACCTCAAATGCGGTATTAGACTGAATGACTAATGCAATCAGAATGCATAGGTAAATATGATCTTCTCCTTATAACAGATGATATTGATGGGGTCTCTGCTGTCGATGGCCCTGCTGGTGGCTACCATTGTGCTCCATCAACGAGAGCCCTTCATGGATCTGTGGTGCAACCTCGTCATCGTCTACCACCTGTACTACATCGTCCTGACCACCGCTATATCAGTGCTTTTCTTCCTGGACCACTCCTTCCAAGAAAACCAGGAGCTGCCAGCTTTAAAGTACTAAGACAAACCAGTGAACCAGCTTAAGATCTACCATTTGTTTTTTAATATTAAAAAAAATCTCTTTTATTTTGAAAACAGAATCCCAATTAAACTCTTAACTTCTATATTAAAAAATCTGTCTAAACAAACCGGTCAGCCAGTGTAAAAATAAAAAAGGTTTTTATTTTAAAATTATAATCCCAATCAAACCTTTAACATCTTCATAAACCAGGGTGTCTATAAAGCCAGCCCAACTATAGTAAACAAAATGTTCCGTCTTATCCCTTCTGCAGTTTATTGACTACCTGACCATTTTTTGTAGCCCCTACTCATAATCATTTAAAAAATAAATATTTAAAGCATGACATTTCAATTTACTTCGAGTCTTGACAATGATTATATAGCATTGTTTATAAAACTGTTCTTCCTAAGTACCATCGATAATATGATCGATCCGTCATCCTATCAATAAAAATGCGCATTCGATTTATGTAATTTGATTTTTATTCAAACAATTTTCATTCATTTGGTTGTTTTGTTTGTTTTCTCATTTTTGTTTGTTTGTCGTATATTTGAGTGTTGACTGCAGTTCAGGAAAGGCATTTTCACGTTCCTCGAATTTTGCTTTTTCTTGTTTCGTGTGTGATTTTTGAAACTAAGGGCTAAACGTTAAACTAAATACATCAAATGAGTTGCTGTCGCTAATGTTTGTGTGGCTTTTTGTTAGATATTCATAACCCAATGTATACCTCGAACCTTTTGATGTTTGAAATCGCCAGTTCTGGTGGACCAAAACTAGGGTCTCCAAAAACCGCCGGGCTTCGGCATAACTATGGTATATAAATGTATTGCTTGAGATGTGAAGATACGGCAAACAATCTCAAAACCAAAGTAAACCTCCCTGCTCCTCTCCACTTCCTACTTCTCCAAATATATATATATATATATGTATATATCCTTTTGTGTATAAATCTAACTTTTAGTTTTTCATTTGCTTGCAACTTATGTACTTACAACTAGTTTCAGGGATTAGGGGAACTATAGATCTTAATGGGTATACGTTAGCCAGTTAGTTGGTAATTGATTTATCGTACGATAGTTCTAATTATTCCGATTCTCTTTATCGCCCTATTATAGACTTTTGTAGACTCGCCCCCCGAACTACCATGGATTATGGTGGATGGGGGGCTAGCACGTTTTGGTAAGGTAATTTCATCTTGCTTTTCGTATTGGATGCGGTACCTTTAAGGTCCGCTCTGGCCTGACTCGATCTCCGCTAGCGAAACTTCTACATCTGCATCTGCGTTCTCTTAGTATCTAATAAATAAATGTTTCTTGGTTTTGTTTTCCATGTTTTTTGTTCTTTTTTTTTTTTTAATTGTGTTTAGAATTTTTCTGGTTGATTTAATATTTATTCATCCGTTTTGTTCTCTGCTTAATGCAAAGCTTACTCGCCATTTATCAGGTTTTTATTTATTATGTTGTATATAATTAATTGTTGGTATAATGCAGTCTTTACGGCAAAACAAAAACAGAATTATGCTATTTGATTTCTTAATTTGTTTTCTCTTAGTTATCATCGATACTTGCATCATTTCATTGTTCTCATTAAATACATAATAATCAAAAATATATCTGTATACTATATTAATATTTAGTTTTGCTTTTTTAAAGTTCATGAAACCAAATACACTTATTTAGGCCTTTCGATCCGTATGTCTGTTGTTGGTTGCTGTTGTTGCTCTAACAAAAAAATGTGGTGAAAGTACAAGGTTCAATTGAAGCAATTTACAGTCGTCTTTTTAATAGAATACATCGCATTCAAAAGGATTTTCTTTTGTTTCATTACGTTTTCTTGGTTTTTCTTGTTTTTTTTTCGAAGGCAGTTAGACGTGAAGATATTACTCTATGGTTGGTTTCTTGCTTTCGTTTGTTTTTTTTTTGTGATTTGTTAACAACTATTTTATGTACATTTAGATTACGTTTAGGTTCTCGTTAGGTTCCATTAGGTTTTTAGATTGCTATATGCATTTTGGCTTACAATTTAGTATTCAGTTTCTCAACTAACTTAGGGCTAGGCTTAGTGGCTAGTTAATTTTGCAATTGTAACACGTTCGGGTCTACCTCGACCTATCCACATTCGCATACACAAAAAAATACATTTCGGCTCCGATCTGTTCAATATCCTACTTTTTCTCTTTCCCTATACCTATATCTAAACCTACCTATCTCTTTCCATTCCGCGCTAGTTATTTGTTCCCTAAAGGCATTTTCATTTCTCGATTTTGTTTATGCAAATCAAAATATATAGGTTGGTAGAAGAAACGAAAAGAAAAACAAAAAAAAAACGTTGATATTTCTCTTAAATTCCCCATTTTTTGTTTGCTATTTTGATTATGCATAAGTTGAACGATATGAAAGTTGGTTTTATGTTAAGCACAAAAGAAATTTAAGGTTGATGTAAGAATGAGGCTTTAATCACGTTTAATTGGAAAACATCAATTTTGGGATTATTTACAAAGTTTGAGAGTTGTGGTCTGGAAGTACTATTTCAATGATTGTACAATTGGCTATCGTATTTCGTTTTTTTTTTTCCTATTTATGGGTGAAGGCACGCCAAAACATCTAGATAGTTTATTTTATGTTCAACGTGAGTATTACTTTGTTTAATTTTTACCTCTTTTACAACGAAAACATTCCATTATTGCTTATGATTCGCTCATTTTTGTTTGTTTGTTTGTTGCTTTGTTTGGATGCCTTAACATTATGTATATGTATACGTATGCTTGTGTTAATGTGTGTGAGTGTTTGTGTATGCGTATGCTTCGTTAAGTTTCAACTTAAATATGTTTTTTACTTTCTGATTTTAACAACACAGGAACAAGTTTGTAAATCTACGCTTAAGTTGCTCTCTATAATTTTGTATAAAACTAATGCGAAATACAAAAAAACATTACTATATACGAATATATGCGTTAGGTATACATCTGATAATAGTTCCAAAGTCGCGCATAAACCTGTTGCTTTAAAAATAAACCTCTTTATCCTAGTACAATTTTTCTCGTCATCATTATCCAAGTGTTTATTCTTAATTCGATGAGTTTTTTGCGCAACCCACAAACTACTAGCATAAATTAAAATATAATTACATAATTATTTTCAGTTTTGTTATAATTGGTTAGAAGTGACCAGATATAGGTGTTTGTGTGTGTATTATAATATAATTATAATCGTATTCAAATGTTTTTGTTTTGTTTGTTTTGCTCCACACGAAGCGCTTATAGCATCTAGAACTTAGAGCAAAAACAAAAAAATATGTGAAAATACATGAAATTAATCAGTTAATTGATTAGTGTAACTATCCTAGATTCTTCTCTGGTCTCCTCCTCCTTTGTATCTTGAGAATTTTGGTTTGCTTGGGAAGAACTTGGTCTGAAGTTGAGTTCAAACAAAAAAAAAAAAAGAAAAGGAAAAGCAAGCATTCGATCCGAACCGTTTGCCCGTCTCGTCTGCTTGCTGTTGATAAGTCGTTTGTGTGGTATCGCTTATGCGATCCACTTGGGTTTACAGTATTTGCTTAGGCGGTGGTCTTGCTCACATAAATTATCTAATTAATCCGAACAAAAAAAAATAGGTGTACATATTGTAACTCCAAGCAATCCCCATGTTTGGTTGCATACGTAAAACGCTGGCATACGTATTCATAACGCGTATCTTGCTGTCGGCTTTAAGTCTACACTTAAGTTTACGTTGTGGTCTTGATGTTCTTGAGGTTGCTGGGATCCTTCGGGGTCGAAATAATCATCTATATATGTTATCTCTGCTAGTTTGTGTCTGATGTGCTCGCTTAAGTTACAAAGTCGTTTAAACGTAAATCTATAATAGAAAGTGATAGATGGGCATTAGATTAAGTCGTGTTAAGTTGCATGATTACCAAAACCAACCTTATAAGTTAAATATTTGGCTCTTAATTTTGTTGTTGCTGCTGCTGTTTTGTTGGTGTTGCTTGATGGGAATATTTTGTTTCGCTTTGGATTAAAGTGTTTTGATTGCGTTTCGTTCTTCCTTTTGTTTTCGCTCCTGGGACCGGTGGTTCCGGCTTTCCTCGAGTTCGTTTTAAATGCGGCGAATACAAAAACAAAAGTGTGATGAAAAGTGGCTTAAACAAAGAACCAACAAAATCGGGGAAAAGCTTAGTGTTTTCTTTTGTTTTGTTCTGTTGTGTGGCGTGTTGTTTGGTTTTCCATCGATTTAGCACTTAAGCTATAAATGTTTTGGCATGGTCAGCGCTAGCTCAATACGGCATGTCCAACTCGTTGCTCTCCTCCTCCTCGATCAGGTCATCCACATCGAACTCGCTGGGCGAGTAATTTGTCTGGCGCACCTTGTGCTGCTGCTGTAGCTGCTGCTGCTGCTGCTGCTGCAGCTGCTGATGCTGCAGCTGCTGCTGCTGTTGTTGCTGTTGCTGCTGCTGCTGTTGCAAGTAGCCACCGATGGGCGCCATCCGTGTGCCCGGTTTGAGCACCATGCCCGTTGACACCTTGGCGCCACGCATACGGGCATTGGCCAGGGCGGCCGTCTTGAGGGGATTAGTACGCAGGTGTGGCGCCTGAGAGGCCGGTGTTGATGATGATGAGGAGGCAGCATTGTACGAGGTTAAAGCTGGGGAGGATGCCGAGGCATTAATGGGTCCCGTGGTGCCGGGATCATTGTAACGCGGCCGCTTGTTCTGCAGCTTGGTGGCCCAGCATTCGGTGGCCCGGCGACGGGCATTGGCACAGATATTATCTCCCGACGAGGCGGAGGACGTGGAGGCAGATGCTGCCGCCGCCGAGGTCGAGGCCGAGTTGACCTTCTCCCCCTGGAAGGGTATGTGACGGCGCTCATCTTGCGTCATCGTCATCAGTTGGTGGTAGTTCTCGACCTGCTTCAGGCGCTGCATACTATCAATGTGGCTGGTCAAGATGCCCGAGGTGGCTGGCGTATTCTCATTCGCCGATGGCTTCGAGTGCGCCGCCGTTGTGTTAATAAAGATATTATCCAGGCCCGCCGCCTTGTTCTCGGAGACGACCTGCTTCTCCAGTTCGGTCGGATCGCCGCCGCCCTGCAGGCGTTGCTTCTGCCGCAGGTGCTGCAGCTCCTCCGGCGAACGCTGCTTCCGGAACTCAAAGACGAGGGGGTAAATGTGCTGGATAGCCGATTCCACATTGCTGACACTGGCCGCTAATGAATGAATAAATATGAATAATATAAATTATTAGAACTGCCACTCACAAGATATAGTCGTGCCCAGATTGGATCACTACTTACCCGTGACGGTAACGCTGCCGGTGGAGAAGATCTTGAGGGTGGCCTTTGGGTCGGGATCGCGCATTTTGTATGTCACACCGGGATGCAACTCCGGCTCGTAGCTGGCGTTCTCGCGGTGACGCTCCGAAAAGTTGACGATCTTGATGGCCCACGGCATGCTGCAGGTGCCCAGCACGTTGACGATGCGGAAATTCAGGAAACGAGTGGGAAATCCAAGCTTGCCCAAGCACCTAGCATAGCGACGAGCTGCAACCATGGCCTGAAAGAGATAATCATTAACTAAAGAGCTCCACACACATATGGTTGCTGTAATATTAAAGCCTACCATAGCCTCCGAGGTGGCACCAGTACAGGTGATCCTTCCCGACGACCAAATCGATGCCGTGGTGTACGGATGGCGCAGTTTCATGGTCACCATTCCGTTCTCGCGACGGTACTCCACATTTGCGCCCTGCAGGGCAATCTCCCGCAGCTTCAGATGGCAGCCCACGCTAAACGAGCAGACCACATTGTTGATCACAATATCCAGCTCGGGCTCATCGTCGGTGGCGTTGCCGTCGTTGGACGCGGTGGTCAGTGCCAAGGGCTGCTCCTGCGGCTGCTGATCCCCACTGGATTTGGCAGTGTGACTGCTCTCCTCCCCATCTTCGTCATCGTGCACCTCCTCGATCACAGTTCCCGGCTGCACGCCCTCCTCCTCCAAGAGTTCCGTTTTGGCCGTGTGCAAGCTATTGCCATTGGTGGCGACGCTCGTGGGCGCACCCTTGTCGCTGCTGCTGTTGCTGGTGAGGAACAGACTCTTGTTGCCGTTTGCCAGCACAATTGTATCCCCGTTGACCAGTTTCCTTTGCAAACTGGGTCCACCTGCCGTTTGCACTTTGCTGAATTGCGAAAAGTAGCGAACAGTACCGGCGGTTGACGCGTTGACGCCGGATGATGCGCCGACCACCGATCCGGTGATCTTTCCGGTGGCCGCCACGCCCGCCGAAACCTGGCGATTGGCCATAAATGTAGACGAGGGCGTTAGGTAAACACGGGGGGCATTGGCCAGCACCGCCGAGGAGACGACACCGCCGGATGTCACCACACCTACTCCGGAACCGCTGCTGGCCGCCTTAAGGCCGCCGTTTAAGTTGGCCACCGGGATGCTGACCATTTCGTTTTGCATGAGCTCTGGCTTGCGCTGCGGCAGTGGCTTGCTAGGCCGATCCTGGTACAGGTCCCGCTGCCTAAGTTCCGCCACCTGCTGCTGCTCGCGCTGCAGGCGCAGCTGGCGCTCGTAGTCTTCCTTACGCTTCTCTAAGTTTCGTTCCAGTTCCAAGCGCCTCAGCTTCTCTTCCTGGCGAGATTGCCGCTCCCGCTCTACCTGGTCTTGTTGCAAACGGTGCAGCTCCCTCTGCTGGCGCACTCTTTCCAGGACAATCTGCTTCTGCAGCTGTTGTTGCTGCAGTTGCTGGAGCTGCTGCTGTTGCTGCAGTTGCTGTTGTTCCTGGATTCGTTGCTGTTCCTGCAGGCTTTGCAGTTGTTGCTGTTGCTGCAGTTGTTGTTGTTCTTGCAGTTGTTGCTGTTGATGCAGTATCTGCTGTTGTTGTTCTTGCTGCAGTTGCTGCTGTTGTTGCAGTTCCTGCTGTTGCTGCAGATGTCGCAGATGTTGCTGTTGCTGGAGATGTTGCTCGTTATGCAGTTCCTGCTGTTGCTGAAGTTGTTGCTCGTGATGCAGTTCCTGCTGTTGCTGAAGTTGCTCCTGATTCTGTTGCTGGTTCTGCTGTTGCAGCAGGTCCTGCTGTTCTTGCTGTTCCTGCTGATCCTGCTGTTCCTGCACTTGCTGCGGTTGCTTCTGCTGATACTCTTGATTCTCTTTACCGAGCAGACGTGCTTTACCTAACAGCCTGTCTGCTTCCTTTATTTTAGAGATTAGCTTACGTATTATATCAATGTTTAAATATTCAAGAACAGTTGGAGCTACCACCTCAGACGAAAAGTTTTGTTCAATCAAGTTGCGTCGTGCTAAATATGCCGGCCCGAACGATTCCTTGACTTTTAGGATTCCTCGGGTAACTAAGTCAAGTTTCGATTCAAGCGAAATATTCTTCTCAGGAATAGTTGGAAAAAACGAACTCTTTTTGTTGAACGCTACTGATGCCAGTTTGAACACTTCATTGCCAACATTAACTATTTCAAGGATCAGCTTTTCCTTTTGTACTATTACTTTAAGGTCTGACTTTGGTGGATTCTCCTTTACAGTAATATTTTGAGTTTCCACCTCCTTAATATCCGGAACCTGATCGTCCTCGCCAGCAGCCGAGTCTCGGCTGTCTCCAACTTCACCTTGTTTTGGTTCCTTCTCTTGTTGTTGCTCGGTCTTTTGTCTAGGTTGCTCCACTGGTTGTTGCTCGGTCCTTAAAGCTCCGGGAGGTCCGTTCGAATCCGTATCAGGATCGTTATCGTCACGTTTTCTTGGTTTGTTCGGATTTTGCTTTTCTTTCTCCTCGTTCACCGAATCGTCTTTGCGTTCCTCAACTTCCAATAATGGACTTTTTGAAGGTGTAGAGTGCTGCTGACCAGATTTTTTTCTTCTCTTGAATGGCGTTCCGTTTTCAGGCACCAAACAATCTTTGTTGTCTGATCCAAAAAGATCAAAACCACGGGCGGATTTGCATAGACGTTGATCGTTTAGAGAATAACGTCGTTTAATTACACGTCGAGGTGAAGCAAGAGAAGGAGGTGGAGGTGAAGGACGAGGTGTTTGTAAATGCGGATTTGAAGCTGAAGCTAAAGTCGAGGTTGAAGGTGAGGTCGACGATGAGGGTGAAGTTAATGGTAAAGGCGCCGCTGCTGCCAACACGCGTTCGCTTTCGTTATCGCTGTCCGGCAAGGCCGGTAATTCAATATATCTGAAGTTGGACGAATCCCTGGAATTTGGTACCCCACCTGGAGCTTCTTGCGGATGAGCTTCAGATGACGATGATGATGACGATGATGAGTACGATGATGATGACTCCTGCTCGCTCTCGCTTTCGGATGTCTGCTCGCTCTCGCTTTCGGATGTCTGCTCGCTCTCGCTATCGGATGTCTGCTCTTCGTCACTTTCCGGTGGTGGTAAACGTGGTAAGCGTTTATATATCCTTTTTATATACCTCAACGCTCTGTTGAAACTTGCTCTGCGTTCGGCTTCACTTTCCGGTGGTTTACTTTGATTACTTTGTTTTATATAGTACCTAACTCTGTTGAAACTTGCTCTGGGTTCGCCTTCCGTGTCAGACTGTGTGACAAAGAGAGATGCGTATTTCTCGTCTGCCGAGGAAGGTGCTGAAAATATTATTAAACGTATTGGCCAAGATGAAGAACGTGAAGCTAAATCTCGTGGCTGTTGCTGCTCTTCTTCGCCTTCTGAAGAATCACCCCTTTCTTGTTCACCGTTTGATGTGGATCCGTTACGGCTCTGATCGTACGCCTGTTCGCTTTGCGACAATTCCCTATATCTGGGTATCTGTACCTCGTTTTCAGAGTATTGTATCAAAGAAATTGTTGAAGAAGATGAAGAACGTGAAGCTAAAGCTCGGGACTGTTGCTGCTCTTCTTCGCCTTCTGAAGAATCACGTTTCCGCTTAGAACCCCTTTCTTGTTCACCGTTTGATGTGGATCCGTTACGGCTCTGATCGTACGCCTGTTCGCTTTGCGACAATTCCCTATATCTGGGTATCTGTACCTCGTTTTCAGAGTATTGTATCAAAGAAATTGTTGAAGAAGATGAAGAACGTGAAGCTAAAGCACGGGACTGTTGCTGCTCTTCTTCGCCTTCTGAAGAATCACGTTTCCGCTTAGAGCACCTTACTTTTTCAACGTTCGATGTGGATCCCTTACATCTGTGATAATACGCTTCCTCGCCTCCGGAACTCTCGGAATATGAAGATTCTCGGTGCGATATTTCCCTGCGCCTGAGGGTTTCTGTTTTACCTCCGGAACTTTCGGAATATGCAAATTCTCGGTGAGATACTTTCCTAGATTTGCGGTCTTCCTCTCCTCCGGATTTCTCGGAATATGAAGATTCTCGGTGCGATACTTCTCTAGATCTGTGGTCTTCCTCGCTTCTGGGTCTCTCCGAATATGAAGATTCTGGCCTTTCTTTTTGGCCTCTGGAACTTTCGGAGTATCCCGATTCTCGGTGAGATACTTTAGACCTGCGGTCTTCCTCGCTTCTGAAACTCTCGGAATATGAACATGCTCGGGGCGATACTTCCCTGCGCCTGGGGGTTTCTTTTTTGCCTCCGGAACTTTCGGAATATGCCGATTGTCCGTTCGATACTTCCCTGCGTCTGGGAGTTTGTTTTTTGCCTCTAGTACTTGCGGAATCTGTCGGTTTTCGGTGCGATACTTCGGAACTCTCGAAGTATGAATATTCTCGATGCGATACTGCCCTGCACCTGGGGGTTTCTTTTTTCTGCCTGGAACTTTCGGAGTATGCCGATTTTCGGTGCGATAATTCCCTGCGCTTGGAGGTTTCTTTTTTACCTCCGGAACTTTCGGAATATCCCGATTCTCGGCGCGATACTCTCTTAGATCTGCGGTCTTCTTCGGCTCTGGAACTTACGGAATATGAAGATTCTCCGTGTGATACTTCCCTGCGCCTGGGGGTTTCTTTTTTGCCTGCGGTTCTTGTAAAGTCTGCTGGTTTTCGATACGATACTTTCCTAGATCTGCGGTCTACCTCGCTTCCGCAACTCTCGGAATATGAAGATTCTCGGGGCGATACTTCCCTGCGCCTGGGGGTTTCTTTTTTCCGCCTGGAACTTTCGGAATATGCCGATTCTCCGTATGATGCTTCCCTGCGTCTGGGGGTTTCGTTTTTGCCTCCGGATCTTGCAAAACCTGCGGGTCTTCGGTAGGATACTTTCCTAGATCTGCGGTCTTCCTCGGCTCCGGAACTGTCGGAATATGAAGATCCTCGGTGCGATACTTCCCAGCGGCTGCGGGTTTCTTTTTTGCGTACGGAACTTTCGGAATATGCCGATCCTCGGAGCGATAGTTTTCTGCGCCTGGGGGTTTCTTTTAGGCCTCCGGGGCCGATATTTGCGTGTCTGAGGATTTCTTCCCCGCTATCGGTACTTGTATAACCTGCCGATTCTCGGTGAGATACTTTATTAGATCTAAGGTGTAACTCGCCTCCGGAACTCTCGGAATATGAAGATTCTACGTGCGATACTTCACTGCTCCTGGGGGGTTCTTTTTCGCCTCCGGAAGTTTCGGAATAGTCCGATTCTCGGTGCGATTCTGTTCTATTTCTCTGGTTTTCCTCGCTTACTGATTTTGTTTCAGACGATTTGGGTGACTGCTGCTGGTCTTCACTAACACAATCGCTTAAACTCCCTGAAATTATATAACGATCTTAGTAAGAAAATATTAAAAGTTTATGGAGTTATTCTCACCTTTGAGGTTCCTAGTCTTTGGATTATCCTCTTTCGACTCGATATCGCTGCACTTGCTTTGTGTGTTTTTAGGTTGTCCGTCAAGCCCGTCTTTTTCGGGAGGATCAGCGTGTGATTTATTATCAGTGATTTTCTCGCCCTTTACGGTTGCTTTATCATCTACTCCCTCCGGATTGGGAGATATAGTCGGCGATTTATTCTCTTTATTCAAATCTTCTTGAAGTCCTTGAGAGTCTGATGCTTCCTTTTTGCATTCCTCGCCAGTTTTGTCGATTGGTTGAGATGGTGATTTTGGATCTTCTTTCTTGTTCTCCTCTACAGCTTCTGCGTTTTTGGGTTGTCCCTTAAGCTCGAACTTTTCGGGAGGATCAGGGAGTGATTTATTATCTATTTCGCCTGTTTCGGTGGCTTTATCATCTACTCCTTCAGGATTTTGGGATTGATTCGGCGATTTATTCTCCTTATCCGAATCTTCTTGAAGTCTTGAGGCTGAATCTTCCTCCTTGCATTCCTCGCCAGATTCGTCAGTTGGTTGAGATGGTGATTTGGAATCTTCTTGCTTGTTCTCTGCAGCTTCTTCTTGATAAAATTCTCCAGTTATTTCATTCAAGACAAGAGTCCTCTGATCAGACTCCCTGCTGTTGTTTAGGGAGGCGATGAAATTATTGGCTATTGGGTATATTGCCAAGTGTTGTTGTGGGTGTGTGGGTGTGTTTTTTTGTGTGTCTACTGTATACGGTCTTAGGTATTTTAGCCTACTTACACGCTCCCCATGATTTCAATATTACTTGTAATGTTCTTGATTTCTTTCATAGGACTCTCGCTTCTTCTTTTCATTCTAATCTTAAGCTTAAGACTAACATTCTTTTTTAGGTTGTATATAAGGCTAAAAGTGATTCTTGCTTGGTGTTCTACAAATTCTTTCCTTTGTTTCGTTTACATGGGTGTATGTGTGTGTGATTTTGCTCTTAAGGCCAAAAAATACTTCTTTCTGTGTAATTTTGAATTAGAATTAGTGTTCGCAGTGTTATTGTAGTTGTTGCTGTCGGTTCCCTAATGTTAAACTACTGTGTATTACGATTATTTCTAGTCTTCCGTTCTTTTCTCCTGTTTAAATTAGCTTGTAGTTTTTGTTGTTCCTTTTGTAGCAGTCTGAAAACCGAAACGAAAAAAAAGAGTTAATATACAGTTGGAAATTGAAATAGAAAATAAATTGACAATGTCGGCAAGTGCAGCAAATGAAATCCATTAAATTCCAAATGCATTCAATTAATTTGTTTGGTCGCGCACGTATGTAAGTTATGAACACAAGATTATTCGCCACTTAATATAATCGAATTTAATTTCAGGACCTATATCAGCCCGATCACTTGACCGGACCCGGAACAACTGCAGAAAAAAGGGTCAAGTCAACTGCAGGAAATATTCATGTCATGCCAATAGAGATGGAACTCTGGGCAGGCCCGGTAATATTGTCAATAATGACTCACGAAAGCCTTGCACAGTCACACTGATTCGTAAAAAAGGGGTTTCCCCCCAGTTACCAATAAAAATAAGGGATTACACCAGTCTACAAAACACGGTAACAGTAAAACAAACGTAACAATAAAAAGGGTTCCATCCTTTAACAGTCATAAAAAGGGTTGCCAGTTATGGAAATAAAATGGAATGGTTTAGTTTAAGAAAAATACGGTATTAAGAAATAGGATTTTTTAGGATATTTTTTTGGTTTCATTTTAAAGTATTTTGATTTTTAATGATTCATTTATGGTAGTTTATTCATACTAAATAACAGAGCACCTTAACAGTGGTTTAACAGCCTTTTTGGGATCGCTTTGAGTGCGCTGACCTTAACATAGATTTTCGCATGCCTGCGAAGAAGACAGATGATGGAGGGGAGGAGAAGAACAAAAAGGAGACAGAAAGAGAGAGAGGAAGAAGGCCTGTAAGTGTGCCTATGTGTGTGTGTGTATGTGTGTGTGCATTACTTCTGGGTCAAGGACGCGCTCGCAAAAGTGGAACAGAACAATCTGTCAATTGAGCGCGACGGCGCTGCAACAGTGCCGGTGACGAAAATAATAGAAGCAACAATAAGAACAACAGTTATGCACCAACATCGATTGTTCCCATCCTGCTCCCACCCACTGGCTGGCAAATGCAGCAATGCGCTATTTTCGGAGCAAAGTGCAAATGGAAATTGTTATTGTAAATTAGCAAATTGCCATAAATTACAATAGAGAGCGTTTATGAGAGCGGAAATATGCATTAGTACATATGTACATATGTAGGTAAGTAAGTATTTGCGAAGCATAAAAATTCTGACAACCCAATTTACTGGAGGATTGTTATATACATATGTATGTATGTATGTATGTACTGGGAATTTAAAATTCATTTTTAAACATTTAAATTAAATAAACGAAATTAGTTTCAAATTTTAGCCATGGAAATATGTACATATGTATATAAAGTTGTCGTGTCTGTTTATTATAGAGAAGTACGACTGTGGATTTTGTTAAATTACTGGATGCTTAGTTGTATTCAGTTAAAGCTTCCACCGACATTTGGACTTTTTTTTAACACCGGGTGCCGGATGTAGATATCACGCCGCCCCCTTATATCCAAGCGCTCATTTATATGCATGTATGTATGTATGTAATTATTTTTTTTTCATTTACGAACCAAAAAAAAGGGCAGATTCACTTGGACTTGCATTCCAACGAAATGAAATAAAAGAAAGAAAAGAGCAAAATGCGTGGGTGTGTGTGGGTGGTTTGGTTTCTTTTTGGGTGACCCACAAAAAAAAGAATTGAAGCTATTTAAAAACCACATTTTTTCCCTGGATAAACAGCTTTCGTTGGCTTTTCTTTTTGGCCTACAACAATAAAATTATACATCAAATTACGTAAAACAGCCAAAGTTTGCATTATAATGGAATTTGAAAAAATTCTCATAAATAAATAAATATATACATATGTATGAAAATATATATGTACATATATTCATTTACACACATTCACACATTAAGAGGAGTACTTTTCTTAATGGTCCCTAGAATTACACTTCATTTTTCCAAGATTTCCTTAAAATTTTAGATTTTTGAAAGAGGGTCAATGTTATTTCCTGTTAACTGTTACATACATATATACGCATGTACATACTATGTGTACTCATTACAAGAAAGGATCACAGTTAAATCGCGTACCTGATAACCGTTATTCACTGACAACAATTCAATTGATCACTCTTTCCGTCGGTTCACTTATGTATTTAGTTAGTTGTATGGCATCTAAACCTTTTAGCATAGGATCACAGTTATTTCGCGTATCTGTGCGCGCCGTTATTTACTGTAAATAGTAATCAGCAAACGGGATGAAACGAAACAAAACAAAACAAAACGAAATGAAACGTCACTTGCACAAACACAATTGCTGCGTGCGCGCGTGCGTGCGTGTGTGTGCGCACTCACATGACGTCGACATTTGACAGTTTGTTTTGCTTTGTTTGACAGTTCTCGCATTTCTCTCTCGTCTGCTCTTTGCTCTCTCCGCTCTCCCTCGCTCTCTCCGTCTCTGTTGCGACGACTATTTTTAACAGCTCGGCAACAGAGGAGCAACAACAAGAAGAACTACAACAAAAAGAGGGTCAAAATAGGAAGCAATAAAAGCGAAAACAAATGCACAATAAAATGCAAATGCCGCTCATTGCTAGAATTTCAATAAAGGAAGAAAAATAGAAAATAGCAGACTGCAGACAGCCTGCAGAAAATGCGAAAAATGTACCACAATATTTGATCGAAATCAAATTTAAAACACCAATACACACAAGCGCACGCGCTAAAAACAACCGAGAGAAATGAAAAATTTAAATTTACGCAAAAAGTACCCCTAGATATAAGGCAAAGGCAAACAAATGGTAAAATTTCAGTTCATTAACCTAAAACGAAAATGAAAACGAGAACAACAGAATGCAATGTGTGAAAAGGGAGAGAGGGAAGAAAAGGGGGGGCGCAAGGAGAGACAGATAAAACAAAAGGCATATTATACTAACAATAATAACCAACAAAAATACAAAAACAGTGAGCACACGGCAAACAGAAACAAAATAAAGTGAACTGCAAAATTCAGGTTCAAGGCCAAGCGACAATTCACAATTGACGAGCCGCCATTTTAGGTTGATTTTTTTATTGCTTATTTTTTATTAATATAAATCTATGATTTATACAATGACAGCTAACCTCGCTTAAATACAGTAGATATTCTTTAAAAATGAACAGTGCATATAATTAATAAAGTAATAAAATAAAATATTTCATTTTAAATAACAAAAAAACATTTCATGAATATAATTTTGAATGTAATAGTATGGAAAATATGATTTCTTATAGAGGTTTAAATTTTTCGACCTTCGGCTGTATCCACATGGTATTAAAAACCGATTAAGAATAACTATGCCTATTGGGTTCCTATCCACGTTTGCCTTATCTAGCCAAAAAAAAAAGGTTTAAAAACTGTCTTTCCCACGATTCGTGGTAAATATTCGCCCTTTTATTACCGCCCCCTTTTCGCCCACAAATTTCACAGCTCTCCAATTTCACTGGAACTCGACTCATACAAAAGAGTCGAGATTATTATTTTTTGAACTGAAAGGGTTTTGAAATGCGAGCTACGTGTCTGACAAGAGGAATCATAAACTACAATAAAATATGCAAACGCTGGCACTCACATACACCACAATTCCCCATTTATTGTACGTATTTATTTATTTCCGTTCCACATTTGATGGGTGTATCAGTTAAAGAAAAAAAAACGGGGAGTGTATGGTTTATCTCTGTAATTTTTTTTTTATATTTACGAAATAAATTCCAAATAAAAACAGGCAATGCACATATTTCGCATTAAAATACTATTTGATTAATGGAAAAAAACAGGATATTGAAAAAAACAAATATGAGTAATGCACAATTAGGAGATTTCATTGGAAGTTGTTATAAAATACATTTCAAAAATATATACATATTTAAGCAGAGATACATATAAAACAAATAGGATGAAACAGTGCATTTCCAATGGGACCACATATCATATAATCACAATCATCCGGCGGATATAACAAGTGCAGCCACACATCCGCGCAACATGTTTGTTCGTGCCACCGCTCACGTTCGTTTTTATGCCCCAATGGAGATGGGGGAGAGGCAAGAGGCAGGAGGCACCTGTTTCGCTCCCTCTCCAGAAAATTCTCGGAGCGGAGCGGTACGTGAATCACGTTAGCAACAACAACAACAACAACGGTTGCATTTCACCATCACTGCAAGCGACAGCTCATCTTTACAGTTACAGTTATGTAGCCACAGCTACTGGCATTTTTAGTGCGTAATAGCAGTGCTGTAAAGGTCTCTGTTATGCAAAATGCAGATGCATTTCAAGCAGAACAAGCCGATCTAGGTTAGTTAAATTAAATTTAATTTCCAGTTTATCGATTTATCAAACATATTTAATACAAATTTTCCGGACAAGTAACTAAATAAAAACTTAATGGCTTGCAATTAATAAGCTTTCCGTTAGCCAATTTACTGTAATTGCTTCCAGTCCCTTTACTTTCTCACCCTCTTTTGTTATGCAAATTATAACAATCAGTGTAACTAATGGGTATACAATTTAGGAATATCAGGAGTAACTTTTAAATTTGTTTTTAGATTACTTTAGCAATTTTAGACGTACCCAGTATGTTTACACTCAGCAGAAACCCTGTTACAATGACCCAAATTCGATATTA